CATACGAGGTCTGGGGCTGGGGCGGGGGCAACCACACAACTTGGTGGCTGCTCCTCAGCTCACCTGGCTGCGGCTGCTGGCGGCATAGGAGGGCCATGTGCCCTGTGGCCGTGACCTTCACTCAGATGTCATCTCTCCCCCCAACTCCCACAGCCGTAAATGAAGACAGATCACTCCAGTCACGTTTAAAAAGGCTCCTGAATACAGAGAGAATCAATTCATATATAGGAGAAGGCAGCACCCCTCGGCTACATCAACTTGAGGTAGCGCTTGATGACCAACCTCCTCGCCTCAGCAGAAACGCACCTGCTCTGTGTGGAGGGGATCGCAGAGTGGGCAAAAACCCATGCTATTACCCCAGCAGGTTGGAGTTAAAACTTTATTTGCGTAATCAATTATGAAGTATGTGCTGGCTCCCAGGGAAAGCTTGGGACGCTGTATAAATCAGACACATCAACGGTTCCAGAACTCATTTTCTTCATGGCCCTTTGGTTACTTCCAGTCCCCTCCTGCCTCAACAAGCATCCCCCCCCCACACACAGCAGACTCTGCAGTGGATCCCTCTCACCTCTTAGATCAAGTTCAAAAGCCAAGCTCTCTGTGGGCTCTCTTCCCTCTCCTTGCAATGGAGACTTCCTTCTCTGAACCAGCCAGCCAGCCACTTGCCACCATCTCCCCCTCAGCATGGCAACAGGGCACCTCCAATCAAGCACTCTCCAGCTTCTCGGGGATCTCAGCTCCTGCCTCTCCTAAGTCTGCTCTGTGCCACTCGATGGCTCCTCCCTGCAGGTGCCAGCTCCTGCCTGCCGACTTCCGCAGGGTCACGGCCGAAGTGCCACACGGACGCCTTGTCAACCCCCCTCTCTGTCACGGTCACGCTTCCTTCTGCAGCGGTGTGTGGCTCTTCGTAGCATCCAGCCTGGAAGTTTCCCGAAGTGTTGAGTACTGAGATGCTCCACAGCCCCAGGACTTCATCAGCGGCATTAATGTGGAAGCATTTACCCGCCCTAGCTCTCTCCAGACCCGCACATGGGTAGACACCGCAGCTGCCAGCCTCAGGAGCACCCCCTCCGTCTGCATGTAGACTTTGCAAACGCCCAATATCTGACCTAAGCAAATGCCCATCTCTGGGATGACCATCATCAGCTCTGCAGGGCAAACTCGTGTGTTTATCTAGTAACTGTCAATGCATCACCATTTGCTCCAGCTCGCTTGCCTGACTGTGGCCCACCTAAGCCATCCCACCGTGAATATTTCAGTCAGATCTATGAGTTTTGGAAAAGCCAATCAAACCCAGACCCGCCTCCAGGAGGTATCTGTCCTTCTTGTTGCCTGGAGCTCTGTGAGGGCGGGGCTCTCCCCACTGTATCAGCTAAGAATTCGGCTCTGGTTGGTCGGTGGGTCACTTTGCGGTGGTCTGGGGGACGTGGGTGAGTCAGCTTCCTTTAGAACCTCTACGGCACTCACAGGGTGCTCTGGGGTCACAGGGTGCTCTGGGGTCACAGGGTGCTCTGGGGTCACAGGGTGCTCTGGGGTCACAGGGTGCTCTGGGGTCACAGGGTGCTCTGGGGTCACAGGGTGCTCTGGGGTCACAGGCAACAGGCATTAGTGACTCTGTGCTCCCCTATGCCGTGTTCTTTATGCTCTTTGCATTCCACTAGTGTGGAGAGACGGCGCTCAGAGAAGGAGTGGAAAGAGAGACCACCCCTGGGGACTGGAGAGATGGTTCAACTGCAAAGGCACTGGCTGTGCAGTCCTAGAGACCCGAGTTCAATTCCTGGGACCCATTCAAGGGGAAAGGAGGAAAGCAACTCCACATGGGTCTTCTGGTCTCCACATGCTCCGCTCCATCACCCCCACATAATGCACACATGTGTGTGCATATGCACACACACACACACACACACACAGAGAGAGAGAGAGAGAGAGAGAGAGAGAGAGAGAGAGAGAGAGAGAGAGAGAGAGAGAGAGAGAGAGAATAAATGAAAACTAGCACCTTTTGGAGTTGCAAGCAGGTGCCTAGGGCACCTGCTGGGCAATTTAAGAGATCAAGAACTTGGCAGCAGGTGCCGGCCTCACCCTGGCCTTGGCAGCTGCCAGCACCAGGAGCAGAGTGCTCTCCTTGCGGCTGCTTCTTGGGTGGGCCATGCGGGTAGAAGAGAACTTTAAGACAAATGCCTTTCACCATCCCTTGAGGATTCTGATACTTGCACACTACAAAACCCTCAGGAATGATGGTATTTTCATCCCCCAATTCTGATCCTTAAATATCTCGATGTGAACTCCGCACCCCAGAACCAAGCAGACCCTACCCGCTAGCAAGGACAGAAGCCACAGCAGGAACCTGCTGGGAAAGGCAGGTATGCAGCAATTCCAGAGTTTTCTTTTTGTCCCCTTTTGCTAATTTTCCCTGTGTGGATGCCAGCATCCTGCCAGTGAAGGACATTTTAAGGGCATCCCTCGAGGAATGTCAAGGTATGAAAAAGAAGAAACAGTGGGACCAGGGGACAGGGCTCTTGGGGTGAAGTATCTGCTGACACAGGGGTTTTTTAATCCCGAGAACCTGTGTGAAAAGCCAGATACAAGGATATGGACACAGGAGGTTCCCAGAAGTTCATTGCCCAACCAGCATAGCCTAATTGATGAATCACAGACTTTTCAAATGTTATCCCTCTCTCTCTTTCTTTCTCTCCCTCTCCTCTCTCCCTCCCTCCCTCTCTCCCTTCCTTCTTTTGTTTTCAGCATACAATTGGATTTCTCTTCTCTGGAATAGACTTTCTTATGAAAACACTGCTCGAGCACTCTCTCTCTAACACAGAAGCTATTTGGATTTCCTTTGGAATTGTTTTAAAGCAGAGCACCTGTCTTTTTAATAAACCACAGAGAATGCAGAGCCGCCACCACTGACGAGAAATGCCAGTCAGGAGTCTGAGTGTGTGTGTGTGTGTGTGTGTGTGTGTGTGTGTGTGTGTGTGTGTGTGGTGAGCTGCTGGCCCATAGAGGCCTCTGGGAGTCTTGCCTTGTGCTGGGAACCTGGCAGAGACTCACCCCTATGTTCACATGACTCTGGAAGTCACACTAAGTCAGAGAGGGGTGGGGGTCTGTGAAGTGAATTCTCCCTGATCCCTCATGGAGCAAGCAGACTGGGAAGGGGTACCTCCTCTGTGGGAGGCTGTTTCTGGGGCTGCAGCAGGAGCCAGCCGACCTGCTCTGTACCTGAGAGGGGGAGTGTGGATTGAGACTCCCGACAAACGTTAACTCACCACACTCCTCCAGGTAGCAGCCTGCTTCCAGGGGCTACTGGTGACACCACTTACGCTATCCGTAATTGACTTGCGAATTACCAACCCACCTTATCTATTTCCCAGTAGACTGTACAACAGGAGCCCTCTTAGGCTGGGGCTCTTGAAGTGTGTAGTGCTTAAAGCTGTCTATTGGTTGAAGACATCAATATTCCTACCAAAACAAACAGCCAAAGAAGATGCCTGACTCTGCGCACTGCTGACCAACCACCTCAAAATCCTTAGGGGCACCTTTTCGGAGGGTTCTGCTCTGGAGCAATGGTCCCTTGCACTGACGGAGTGATGGATGGTCAGGCCCCCTGCAGACACCGGGTTCTTGTGTGGTTTTGTTTCCTTCTGACCTGACAAAGCATGGGTTTCTCATGGACAGAGATCAGGTGGCCCTAGGGGACATTGCAAAATATTCTGCGTTGCTGAACATCCTACTCTGTGCTGGACAGCCCCCCCCACTCACACAGCAGAGCCTCAAGTCAGGAAACACTGCCCTGGGGACACAGCCAAACCTGGGGTGGTTCCTGCACACGGCCGTGGATTGAGCTGCCTGTGACTGGTGAGAAGTTCTGTTTCTGCCTCCGGGTATATTTCTTTGGGAAATGAGACCCGAGAGCGGAGACGCACGCAGGGTAGAACACAAGCCAGGAAGGGCTGATGTGGCGCTAACTGTAGCCGCAACACAGAGCAACTCCTCGAACGTCTCCAGGTGAGTGACAAGGAGACACCTGTGCCCCTTCTAGTAGCTTAAATCATCCTTCCTTATATAGTTTGGAACTGGTGATAGCTTGCCATCTTTTCTGTCTGCTGGCATGAGAGTTTTATGAGATAGATAGCTTTTGACAGGCTCTCACTATGTAGCCCTGGCTGGTCTGGAACCCACAGAGATCTGTCTGCCTGAGAGGGAATTGTGTGCGGATAATGAATGAGCAGAGCCTGAGAATGTTTCATGACTGTGAATGAAGCATGTTCCCCTGGATGTCAAGCCACCAATGCATCTCCATAGCCTGTGCTGGCGAGGGATGAGCTCAGGGGTTGAGTGGAGCGGCAATTGTGTTGGGTCCTTAGTTCACGGCCTTTCTTCATTGAGAAGGTGAGAACATTGGTTTGTAGGGAGGTGGAGGCTGAAACCTGCCAGCTACATCACGGTGTGACTCAGTTTCTTCACACCCCCAAACAGAAGGAGGATGCCCTGAGGTTGTCACTGAGGCAGGCAGGTACAGGGAATTGTTGAGTAACCCGGGGTCACCCTGACTTTAGGCTATGCACATAACCCTTCTAGAGTAATGCATTCAGCAGCCTGAGACATTTAGTTGTATCCTACACACTCAACTCTAAACAACACAACTAGCACCTGTTGGCAATCTAAGACTCTCAGCTGTATCTAGCTGCATTCATACCTGCTGTGGTGATACCTCGCCTGTACAAGTAAAGCTTGTCTGAAGGTCAGAGGATGGAGCTTGTCACTAGCTAACCACAGAGGCCTGGAGGTCTGTACAGACAGACAGGAAGTGAGATGGCTGGGTAGAAACAGGAAGTGAGATGGCTGGGTAGAAACAGGAAGTGAGATAGCTGGGTAGAAACAGGAAGTGAGATGGCTGGGTAGAAACAGGAAGTGAGATGGCTGGGCAGAGAGAGGATGGAAGGGGAAGAAACAGGAACTCGTTCTCTCTTTCCGCTGGGAAGCTAATGAGGTAAAGATGGCTGTAGCTTGCTCCTTCTTCCCTCTGGTCTCTCAGCATTTTCCTCTATATCTGACTCTGGGCTTTTATTGTTTAGACCAATTAAGAGCTCCATTTACATTTTTGTGTTATACATTTCTTCTCTTAATTCACCATGAGACTAAAGACAGTTGTTGTTCCAATGCATTCCTAGTCCATGCTAGCCTGAGAGTAGGAAGGTTAATCCAGTCTGAACTGGCTTTGGGTGTTGTGTCAAAACTGCCGTCACGTGAAATATGAACGAGAATCTCCTATTTACCCTCTTATCCCTTGTGTATAAGTGGGTGTACATATGGTTAGAAACAAATGCATTGTGGGAGGCGAGTCTGTGTCAGTCAAAACCACCCAAATTATACCTCTTGTAACCAAACTCTTCCTGTCCCAGAACCCTATAAAACAAAGGCCTAAACTGTAGTCGATGGGGACCGTGAATGTCTTCACTTTCTGACTTACTGCTGTCTGGAAAGTGATCTGACCTTCCTTTTCTCTTCCTTCCTTCCTTCTTCCTTTCCTCTCTCCATCTCTCTTCCTCCCTTCTTTTTTCTGCTTTACTGTTTCCTCAGTACTTGTGTGAATCAGTGAATTTTTATTTCAGGTTTTGCATAAGAGGTCAAGAACCTGAAAACACCACCCTCTGGCCGGGTACCTGAACCTGCCAACACCCAGGCCTCTGCGGTTGTTGCAGAGGTGGACATGACCATGACATGGGTGTGACTCTCAGCCTTGTGACCGACACAGGGATGTCAGCCCTGGGCGTCCTCAGGCATGGCGAGTTGGCAGGTGTAATTCAAGACTGTGTGTCATGTTCAGCAGAGGCCAGGAGATGCCTGGTGGGGGCTAAGCAGCTTTCTTTTGTACTGTAAGCCTTCTTAGAATCATTAAAATGCTAATGTAAATGAGACTTTCTAGGAGAGATAAGTGGTGGGCACTTTCCAAACTTGTTTTATTCATTTCACATGTAATTATTATGTTCATATATATGCAAAACACTGTCTGATGTGTTCTGGAAGTGCATAATAAGGAATACAAGGTCTGCTCTTCTGCAAGTTCCTGTCTACTGAGCAGGGAGGGAGGAGGAGAAAGGAAGAACACGGGTGAGGGAGAGCCCGTCTGCAGAGAATGAAACTCTGGAGCGGGATAGGTGGCTCCTTCAGCTGAGACATCAAGGCAAGGCCCCAAGGAGATGAGCTGAGCTCCCAGAGCAATATCAAGCCACAACCAAGACAGGAGCCTTCCAGGCAGTGGGGGACCCCCTGTGTCCAGGATGCAGTCTTCTAACAGAGAGTATAAACACCAGGAGAACGGGATAGACGCATGGCATGGAATGGCCAGAGTCCTGAGGGCTCAGCCCTTCCAGATCAGAGACCACCCACACAGCAGCTGTGCTGGGTTATAGAATGTAATGGGAGAGGTGGTAGCCAGGTGGCTACTGCAGAGGTGCAGGTGGGATCCAGGTGGCTACTGCAGAAATACAGGTGGTAGCCAGGTGGCTATTGCAGAGGTGCAGGTGGTAGCCAGGTGGCTAATACAGACGTGCAGGTGGGGGGTAACAGGAGCTCAGAAGTAAAGGAGACAAGAAATGAATGCATGCTGGGTACATTCCATTGCTTCTATTTCTGTGTGTGTGTGTACGTGTGCGTGCCTGCAGGTATGTGGTTCTCATGAGCCATTACCCATGGTGGGACAGGCTTTTCATGGGTAGAGCTGCCCTTCAGCCACCCACGGTCCTGTGACCCTTCATCCATTGCCCTCGTCAGGGTCTCTGCTGCTGTGATAAAACACAAAAGCAACTCCAGGGAAACGGTTTGCCTCCGTTCGCAATTGCAATGCATCATGAAGGGAAGTCAGGACAGGAACTCAAAGCAGGAACACAGAGGCAGGAACTCAAGCAGAGGACATGAATAAATGCAACGGCCTGCTCCCCATGGCTTCCTCAGTCTGCTTTCTTACACCATCAGGACCATCTACCTGTCCAGGGGCAGCACTGGGTCCTCCTTCATCAGTCATTCACCAAGAAAAATATTAATGAGACTTTCTTTATCCGGTTAAGATTCCCTCTTCCTGGCGGTGTGAAGGCTTGGGTCAAGTTGGCAAAACCAACAAGCGCCATCTGCACTCCTGAACTAACCACCATCAACTCACTGGCTCACCAGGTTGGACTTTGGTATATTTGGTACTTTTGTCTGTCACAGGTTACCTACATGGGGTGAGTAGACGTGTTATGTCTCCCTAGGAAAAATTTCACAGCACAGTATATGCTTGCATACATGCCTGAGTATGTATGTGTGTGTGCTCACACTTGCATGTGCACGTATGCTGGTATCTGTGTATGTGTGTGTGTGCGCGTGTGTGCAAGTGTTTGTGAAGGCCAGAGTGTTCATCTTCCTCAATTGCAATCCGCCTTTTTTTTTTTTTTCGTGTAGGGTCTCTCACTCAACATGGATCTCACTGGTGTCCAGTCTGGGTAGCCAGCAAACTCCAGGAATTCTCCTGTCTCCGGCTCCCCAGTACTGGGATTGCAGGAATGTGTGTCACAATCCCAGGCTCTTAAGTGGATTCTAGGGAACACACTCAGCTACTCGCATTCACGGTGCAGGAACTTCACAGGCTAAGCCACCTCCCCAGCCAAGGGCTGCTGTTCACAAGTGAACATTTCCTGTTTAAGTGATGCTTCCATAGGACAGTACCCACCCGACAAGGTCACAGGTTGATGATTATCACAAACCAAGCAAGCCCATTCTAACCCCAGTTGCTGGCACCCCAATCCTAGCCCCCAAAACCTCTGTCCTAAGGCAAACACTACACTGAATCCTAAAGCCATGGGATGGGCTTGTTGAACTTAGAATCTGTGTAATGGGAACTTTGAACGTGTTCTTCCTACAGCTCCTTCTGCTCGGTGTCTTAAACAGCTCACCCAACCCTTGGCTGCGCCAGGAATTCATTTCTGTGGCTATATGTGCTCACATTTGTTCAAACAGGACACAACACATTGTTCTAAGTTAACGAACAAATGCCTCCTTAATGTGGAAATATTAAGCTACACAAAATAGGGATGTCCTATAATATTTTATTGAAGGAGAAATCACTTACGTGGGAAGAAAGAAAGAATCAAAGGTCCGCCCACTGGCTGCTCTCCAGGCTGCAACAGGAACCCAAAGAGAGAGAGTCTCCTCCCCCTAGCTCTTTTATCCACTGTGTCTACATACCTGTGACCACACCCAAATGGGTGTGGTCAGCGCTATGGGTATGTAGATCTCTCCCTATACCTCCTTGACTGTGGAGGTGACTGCCCCGATGGCTGTGGAGATGACTGCCCCGATGGCTGTGGTGGCAACTGCTCTGATATATCTTTGTCAACTTTACACAAACTGCCGTCTCTTGAGGAACTGCCTCCCTTGCATTGGCCTGTGGCCATGTCTGTGGTGCATTTTTTTTTTTTACTGATGTGGATGGTGTGGTGTCATATTCCTGAGGTGTGCGAGGAAGCAGGCTGAGAAGAAGCCAGAGAAAGCCGGTCAGTGAGCAGTGTTCCTCCGTGGCCTTTGCTTCAGTCCCTGACTCCAGGTTCACCTTGGACTCCTGCCCTGTAGTCCCTCAGTGATGTGCTGTAATAGTAAATAGACCCTTTCTTCCCTGTGGTAGCTAGTTTGAGCAAAAATGACTCCATAGGCACATATATTTATATATGTAAATGCTTGGTCACTAGGGAGAAGAACTCTTTGATAGGATTAGAAGGACTAGGAGGTGTGGCCTTGTGGGAGGAAATACGTTATTAGGGGTATTAGGGATGGGCTTTGAAGTTTCGCAAGCACATGCCAGGCTCAGTCTCTCTCTCTGTCTCTCTGTCTCTCTGTCTCTGTCTCTCTCTCTCTTTCTCTCTCCCACACACACACCTATGGATTAGGACGTAGCTCTCAATTACCCCTCCAGTACCTTGCCTACCCTGCCTGTCATTCCTGCCTTGTGTGCCATCATGCTCCCTGCCATGATGATAACTGACTAAGCCTCAGAAGCTATAAGCAAGCCCCCAGTTGCGTGTGTTCCTTTACAAGCTGCCATGGTCATGGTGTCTCTTCACAACGACAGAACAACGCCTAAGGCACAGTGTTCATCACAGCGCTGAGAAGCAATCTAGAGCTGTTACTCTGGGGTGTCAGCATGCTTGGACCAAGAGTTCCGGGGATGTGTCTCTGAGGGCATTCTCGTAGACCATTGGATGACAAGTGCTCTGACATACTGATGGATTAGCCTCTTGACCGATTTGTAAAATAATAGCATTATTGGAAGAGGCTGGAATGGGAGCGAACCACTGGAGGAGGCAGGAGGGGCTTGTCCCTGGGTCTGTGTCATGCCTGGGCCTCTTCCTGTGTGCCAGTGTCCTCCACAGAGAAACTCCATACTGTTCTACCTCAAACTGAGCCCAGAAACATGGGGACAAGTGACCACCAACCAGCTCAATCAGTCGGGAACCATGAGCCAAAATAAACAAGTCCTACCCCGAAGCTGGTGACAGTAGGTACTTTGTCACAGCTCTGCAAAAGGGACAGAAGCTCTCCCTGCTCTGCATCACACACAGTATTCCCCTCTGAATTCACCCAGGGTGGGGACGTCAGGGTCCCATTGCATGCACCTGTCTGCCCGTCAGTGGGGACAGCCTAGGGCTTTCCCAGAGCCACAGCTGTGTGTGTGTGTGTGTGTGTGTGTGTGTGTGTGTGTGTGTGTGTGTGTACTCCCACCTGTGTTGAGAAGGCTCAGTACCTCTCCTTTGATGTGTAGGCTTTCGAGCTTAACCTATTCTAGTCGATCTGGAGTGGTGGCCTCTTACAGTCTTAATTTTACCCACTTGATGATGAATGAGGTTACATATCTCTTCGTATTTAACATCCTGGTTTGGGCGTCCCCGTCTGTGACGTGGATGTAGGAAACCCTCCCGCACATCTTTCATTAGGATTGTCTGTCTGAATAAGTGCTTAATTTGTGGTGTTTATTTTTACGTCTGAGAATTTCTTTCTTTGATTTATGTTTATGGTTTCCAGTTCTGGGCCAAGAATCCGTATCTTGTTCTTAAATTTCCTGAATGTATTCATCAAGCTGCCTTCAAGCCTGAACAGTGGCCACCCCTGAGTCACTGTGGGTTTCTCTGTGTTGTCTGCTTCTGTCTTGGTTCCTACTTCCAACCTTCATTTTTGAAAACTCAAGAGCACTCTGGAAGCCCAGGTTTTTAACAGAACCGCATGTGGTGAGAGAGGCCTGGAGTTCAACGTCAAGCTTTCCTTTTTGGGTTCGAAGTGTCTGGACTTATGCTTGTAGATCAGTCCCAGAACACACAGCTCTAAATTGGCGCCTTCCCTCAGCCGCTCTTCTAGAAGGTGAGGGGAGTGGGTGAAGACCGCATGGAGTTGCACTGCCTGAAGTTGACCCTTGACCGTCATATTTCATGTTTGGCTTCTTCTTTTCTACGATTTCTCTTTGTTGGAAGGTCTAGTGCTACCCCATTTCTGGAATGCTCTTTACCCCGATGCAGTGTAGCAATATCCTCCAAATTAAAACATTTCCTTCTGGAGGGAAACTCATAAGACTTAGGAAGTCAACAACTCAGAAGTCTCAGGATATCCCTGAAACTCACTAGATTCACAGGCTCTTCCTTCCCCAAGGTTGTATATGCAGTAAGAACAAATGGGGAGGAAAGACACCCCCTGAGGCATGGGACTTCTTGCAAGTCATGCAGAGAGCCTCAGACTTACAGCTTTCATGAGCTGTCACCCATGGTAGACATTCTGGTGGTGACACCACCTTTGAGCTAGCCATGCTTCTGGAAGTAAACCCTTATCCATACTGGTGTAACTCCAATAAAACACATTAGTTTTTCAGATGCACTTTGATGGCATTGTTACTTTGGTCTGTCATCAGTGGCTTATCTGAAGTGAGTTCTTCTTTGCTCATGTCTCCCCAGGAAGTCATACAGCATTGGGTCACATGTCTTCCTGGACCCTGGATGGCATCCAGCATGCAGGCTGTGTGTGGCACACTCTCCTTGGCAGCCTAAGGTCACCCCCCAGCCCCGCCAACACAACACTCAGCCCAGCTTAGACTTCACTGCCTATTTTGCAAGTCAGCAACTTCTTCCAAAAAAAAGAAAAGTCATGCCAAGCCCTTGGCTCTCCTTCCAAAGATGGCCTTTTATTCTTGGGCCTTGGCTTCTTATACCCCTACCAGCCTAGTTGCCCTTAGATGTCCCCAAACAGATTTGGCTTCACGAAATTTTCCTGAGTCTTCTAGACAAATGACATTTTCAATAGGAAAGTTTCCATTGACAAGTCATGCTGTACCAAAGGACGTTTTCTCCGTCAAGCCTATCTATTCTAACCAGAAGCAGAAAGAGGACCCTTTACAGAAAGAGCCTACCAGATGGGCCAAGACTTCTCAAGGGCATGAGACAGACACTGGGACCTTGGGCACCATCCTTTGAAGAAGTGAGAGAGAAGTTAGGAGGGAGGTGTGGAACACGATAGGTTGGGATGTTACGGTTTCACACTAAGGTACAGGGCGAGTGGATATGTGGACCCAGAGTTTGGCTGAAGGAGAGAAGGCTCTAAGCAGGCAACCGGATGTGGCCACCCTGTCTCTCTTGGAGGGTCTCGTCTGTGCACCTGATTGTGGAGTTGTAGGTATGTAGGTGTTTTCTCAAGCCACGTGTGTGTGTGTGTCTGTGTGAGAGAGTGTGTGTGTGAGTGTGAGTGTGTGAGTGTGTGAGAGAGTGTGTGTCTGTGTGTGTGAGAGAGTGTGTGAGTGTGTGTGTCTGTGTGAGAGAGTGTGTGTGTGAGTGTGTGTCTGTGTGTGTGAGAGAGTGTGTGAGTGTGTGTGTGAGTGTGTGAGTGAGTGTGTGTGAGTGTGTGTGTGTGTGTGTGTGTGTGTGTGTGTGTGTGAAGAGAGCACTCCAGTGTCTGGCTTCTCGCTCTCCAGTGTCAGCCACAACAGAGACCAGGAAGAACTTGTCCCCAAGCAGGAGCAACACCCAACTCTTAGCGCACTCGAGAGGAACTGCTCCATCTAAAGGCACCACCCATTTGGAGCCATTTGATGCTCTTCTCTGGGACTCCCTGCTGTTACCCCTTCAACACCCTGCCTGAGCCCTGGATGGAGGAGACTCACTCAGGATTCCAGTGAGACAGGCGACAGCGTGGATGGATGTAGACATCGTTCAAGCAGGAGATGGTGCCGAGAAAGTCAGCCGCTGCAGAAAGTTCAGATGTGGCCGGATCCCAGGCTCAGCCTTGCCCTTGGCGATGGAGACCATGGGAGCCTTTAACAAGAGCAGGCCTGGAGGTAGTAGGGAGGGTGGTGCCTGCACTTTGGAGGGTCGGTCTCCTTCCCTGGGACCTGGTTCCTTTAACTTCTGTCATTGAGCTCGCCAGTGCTAGAGGCACCCATGGGGACCCTGGAGCATGCCTCTACACTTTAGCTCACCGCAGCCTCCTCCCTTTGAGGGTAAAGCGCCTGTCATCGAGCTCCTCCTGTCATGCTACAGCCCTTCTGGTGAAGGGAGCTGTCACTGCAATGGGATGGCGTGACGTCGTGGGACTATCTATCCAGGTGATGTTCTCTCTGTTGGAGTGGCACTTGGAAACTGCACTGAAGGTCCCTCCTAGGCACAGCATGATGGGGGTGATATAAAGCCCAGGTGTCACCAAGTCCCCGCCCACAAGTCTTTAGGTGTCACCAAGTCCCCGCCCACAAGTCTTTAGGTGTCACCGAGTCTCCGCCCAGGGTCTTTAGGTGTCACCGAGTCCCCGCCCACGGTCTTCCTCTAAATTATCCAGAGCCGCTCTGCCCCTGGCCCATTCCCCACAGTGCCCAGAGCTCCAAGCGTTTCCCTTTTTCCTAATGCACAGGAGGCTTATAAAAGGCAGCCGGTTGTCTCTGCAAGCAAGAGTACCACAGCTATTGCCTCGTAACCAAAATGCTTCCGAGAGAGACTCCTTATGACCCCCGCAACCCCAATCAACTAACAAAGCTCAGGCAACAAATTAAACTTAAAAGTTTCTGGAATCTTATCAGATTCACAAGGCCCCTTGCTAGGGTTAACAGCTGCTGGAGGGTTGAGACTCTGACTGCCTAGCTGTCTGTAAGTCATGCAGGGAGCTTCAGGGTTGCAGCATGCATGATCTGTCACTCACGCTGAGATGATGCCGCTGGCTTCGAGTCACTCTTGTGCTTGCGAGCAACCCCTCACTTGAACTCCGGTTAGTAACCCCTGAAGTTTCACCGGCTCACCAAGCTGGACTTCAGAATGAATGTGTCCTTGTTCTGTTATTGAAGCCCTACCCGGGTTCAATAGTTTGTTTTTCAACAGCCCAGAAAAGGTCATGCAGGAGTTGTGTGGTTACTCCAAGGTCTACTCTTGAGGCCGCACAGCAGACTGCATTCGGGAGACCCTGATCTGGGGAGACAAAAGGGCCAGGGACCTGAGGCCTGAGATCTGAGGAAATAGTGGTGTGTCCCAAATGTCCAGGCCTTTGTGAATCGGGAAGACCCAATGCTTCCTGGGTCAAGTTCAAAGACCATCTGCTGTTTCCGAGCAGCCTGTGGGGCCTACCTCCTCATGGAGGGTCGTTTCCTTACACCGTCTATCCGCTTGGGTGTTCCTGTTGTTTCTGAGGCATCATTTTCCTCCGCAGCCCTGCCTGTCCTGGAACTTAGACGCATCCTCCTGCCTCTGCCTCCTCAGTGCTGAGATCACTGCTGTGAGAAACTCTGTCTATTTAAATGCTGACGTCACGAAACACACTTGCAGAGACACTCCGAAGGATGTTAGCACACCCAGCACCACGGCCGTGGAAGTCACACGCGCTGGCGCTGTTGACACAACACTGCCTTGGAGGTCCCAGCCGAAAGCACCTTGGTGTGGCACTGCAGCTGCTCTGACTCCAGGCTCTGCTCTGGTGGACTGTGGTGGTGACTCAGAAGCTGAGGGAGAACCCCTCACTTCTGTCTGCCTTCTTCCCTCCTCTCTCTCTCTCTCTCTCTCTCTCTCTCTGTCTCTGTCTCTCTCTCTCCCTCTCCCCCTTCTATCCTGTCTCTCATCTCACTCATCTCTCTTCCCTCTCTCCTCTGCCCTTTTCCTGTCTCTGTCTCCTCTCTCTCTCCCTCCCCTCCCACCCCTCCCTTCAAACACGAGCAACAACTCCCTTAGCACCATCACTTCCTGCAAGCAGGTGGCCACCGCAGACAAACTGCTGCGCATGCTCACCAGGCAATGGCAGCCTGGGAGATGGTGGTGCCTTGTCACCCAGGGATTGCGAGCTAGAGAACAGCCCCCTGCCCTGGTGTCTCTGGGCCGGCACCCTCCAGCGTGCATGGAGTCTGGGCAGATGTTCTCTGGAGGTCTGCTCTTGCTCAAGGCTCTGACAACACCACCCTTCGTGTCTTCCCATCCAGCAGCTGCTAATGCCATTCAAATCATCTCATTTGGAATTCTGTCTAGAACACAGACAGCTTCACTCGCCCAGGCAGAACAAAGGGATGGAACAGGGGCCTTCGTGGGAGATATTTTGGGTGTTTTTAGACACAGAAGTCAACAATCTGTTCCCTCATCAGGGCTGTGACCTCTGGTTTCGGAAGAAAACAAGCTGGGTGCAGAGAACATAAATATTTAACTTTCACCGATTCTCCAATCTGCACGGAGACAAATGTCCCGGCTGGATCCCACGCCCTCCCCTTCCCAACACATCTTCGGAGAGGAGGGGAGGACCAGAGAGTGGAAATGGGCTTAAAACGTCATTTGTCAGTTCTGAAGAAATGCAAGTTGGCGGCGAAGCGATTCATCTAGGGAGGAGAGGCCACGCTCTCAGATTTCTCCCACTCCTTATTGCCTCCTCTGGTCTTTCCTTCTCTTTTTTTTTTTTTTTTTGAAATGATCTTGCTCCGGACCCCAAGCTACAGCTGGACTCATGATCCCCCCGCCTCAGCTCCCCTGCCGGGCTCAGCTTCCCAGAGCCCTGGGAGGAAAGGACACGGCTTCCCCGTCACACCAGAGTCCCGGGTTCCACGGAGGAAAGGAGACTGGAGACGTGGCTGTGGGGAGGAGACAGGTTCTCCCACTTTGAACAGAGACGAAAGCGAAGGGGGCTCTGGAATCCGGTCACGGTCCTCAAGGGAGGCAGGAGGCATCGTCTCTGCACTGCCGTCCTGTGAGGCAGCAACGCTTGGCAGCCAGGCCCTCAACCTCACAGACCCACCCTTCCCCACCCTTTCCGGTTAGAAAGGGGAGGTATCCCAGTGGGCGAAGGTTGTAGCCTCGGTTCAAGGCCCAGGACCCACACGATTGAAGGAAAGAACCAGGTCCTGCAAGTTGTCCTCCGACCGGCATGTGCGTACCGTGGTGTGTGTTATGTGCCAAGCATGTTCTCCCTCGCTCTCCCACGTTAGATTAATAAATGTAATAAAACTTTTCAGGAAAGGTGGAAGGTGGGTCCTTGAGGGTGCTGTCGGAAACCTAACGGAATCGGCAAAGGTGGGGGTCTTCCTGCCGTCACTAAGAGGTGAGGTGGGCCAGCTACTGGCGGAAGTAGCGGTCTGGAAAATTAATTTGTGGTTAAGAAAGCTTGCCGCTCTTATGGAGGACCTGAGTTTAGTTCCCAGCACCCACACCAGGCAGCTCACAAACACCTGTAGCTCCAGTTTCAGGGTGATCTCCTGGTTTCCTGGGGTAGCCGTACTGGTGTACATGCACCCTTACCTAGACAGATAACTAAGAAAAAAATAATGTCTTAAAAGAGTCAGATCAAGTTGTACTAGGCTTGGAGGAGTCAGAGAGATGAACTTTGCTCTGGGGCGCAAAGTCCGGGGTCATCTGGCTGGAGGGTGCCGAGGAAGGCCAGCTATCATGGTTTCAAGACAGGTGTCCTGCGCAGGCTCATGTGCCGAAGACTTGGTTCCCAGCTGGCGGGGCTCTTGTGAGAGGTGTTAGAAGCTGTACGGAGTGGGGGACCTAACCTGGAGGACACACATCACTAGGGGTGTTCCTTGGGGGCTGTCTCCTGCCTAACTCCTTCCTCTCTTCCCGTCTGCCCCACCCAGGGTTGCTTTGAGCTAGGCAGCTTTGTCTCAACCACACCCTTCCTCCATGATCTTCCGCTTCAACTCAGACCAGGCAACAGTCCCCTGTGGGTGGAAACTTCTGGAACTGTGAAGTGTGTGAATACAAAGACTTTGCAGAAGGTGAAGCTGGGTGAGTATACAGGGCCTGGGGGAGGGCTTCCTGGTCAGGTCCAGAGGGCGGAAGGAAGGAATGTGCACTGATGTCTTTGACGGAGGAGAAAGGGCCGGAGCTGGGTGCACAAATGATTTAGAGGCAGAGGGTGAAACTGTTGAATGTCACATTGAGGCATTTCAACACTAGGGCAAAGACAGACTACCCTTGAGCCCAGCGAGGGTGGCAGAGCAGTTATCCTGGTGCACAGGGTGGCTCCCAAGGGTGCCTGAGCCTTTATCTTGAAACCATTCACCAACCGCTGATGATGTATCGTAATGTATCAGTAATGTATCAGTTAGGATTACTACAGCCACAATGAAACACCAAGACACAAGACAACTTGGGGAGGAGAGGGTTCATCTTGCTCACACCTTCTGCACCACCAGTGATGACTGAGGGAAGTCAGGACAGGAGCTCACACAGGGCAGGATCCCAGAGGCAGGAGCTGATGCAGAGGACATGGAGGGGTGCTGCTTACTGGCTTGTTCCCCATGGCTTGCTCAGACTTCTTTCTTACAGAACCCAGGACCACCAGCGCAGGGATGGGCTAGGTCCCCCCACAGCAATCTCTAATTAAGAAAATGTCCTTCAGACTTGTATGCAAACTGATCTTACGGAGGCATTTTCCCAGTTGAGGCTTCCTCCTCTGCGGTGACTTCTGTTTGTGTTGGGTTGACATAAACTTGTCCTCACAGATGAGACTCTTCTGCCTGTGTCCTCCTTACAAAAAGAACCTCACTTCTTAGGATGTAGAGTGTGAGCAGTGTCAGAAGTGTTGTCAGGAGTGGGGAGGGGAGGGAAGGGTGCTGTGACTTACACGGCCCTTTCTCTGCTCTGCAGATGTAGCCGTGTTGCTCTGGGATCTCCTGACCCCCCTCGCCTGGGATAGAGAGGTTGGGTTCCTCTGGTTATTACTTCAGGGACTCTAAATGTCAGCTGACCTCTTGGCACAGACACTCAGTCCTGCCAGTGTGACTCTGTGCATTTCTGACTCCCAGATGCCGTTCTGTAGTTCATTTGCTTTCCTTTCTCAGCCTAGCTCAGGACACACACATGCAGGCCAGAAGGGTCCACGTTTGTCCCTGGAGTGGATACATGGCTAGGTGTGTAACAGGGTAACAGACTCCAGCTCTGCCCTGAGGGCCTTGGCCAAGCCCACTTGGAGCCGCTGGATCCCATAGTAGGAAGGAAGTAGCTGAGCCTGCCACAGCCTGGCTCATCCTTCCTCCTCTGTGTGCCCTCCAGTGTCTAGATGAGCCGCATAGGAACCCTGTGGCTTCAGGCCGAGTTTTTAAACACCGGCCATGCTGGGTCACCTCCGTCAACTGAGTGAGCACTGTATCTCAGTCTATTTGGATCCGGGACCTGACCCAGTGTGCGGATGAAGTCATGGAAACAAGAGGCTTCAGGGACCGGGATAAACACATTTTCTGTTTGGCCCTGAAGCTCTGCTGACAGCAGCTCGGCAAACAGATGCAAGATTTCATCTGCCAGTGGGAAATGCCCTGGCACCATGCTGTGTTCTTATGCTGCCTCTCCTGAGCTCCTCCAGGAGGGTCACAGGGAGCATAGAGCACCCATCAGAATGGACCAGGGGCCTCTTCTGCAGACTGGATGGGGTTGCGAGAACATTCTGGGAGGCACTAGGTAGCATCCACCCTTCTGGTGGGGGATGTCCTTCTATATGTATGTTTCTCTTACTGGTTGATGAATCAAACACTGTTGGCCAGTAGAGGCATGAAAATAGGTGGGACTAGGAGATGAGGAGAATTCTGGGAACAGTAGGCAGAGAGGCCCCGCAGAGGGATGATGTCATGTAGCAGCCAAAGGAGTAACAGATCTGGGCATTTTCCGGTAAGCCAAGACCGCGTGGAAATACTCAGATGAATAGAAGTGGGTTAATAATTAAGACAGAGCTAGTCAAGAAGAAGCCCTAGCCGTCAGCCAACAGTTTTATAGCTAATATAGCGTCATGTGTTTCTTTGGGGCTAAACGGCTGTGGGACTAGGCTGGAAAGAAAACTCTAGCAATACCCCCCCACCCACAACAAGGTCCCAATGACAAACTAACATCTAAATCACCAAAGCTCCCCCACCCCCACCCCCACCCTGGGGAACTGAGGAGTTCCTTAGGTTCACTTACAGAGAGTGGGCAAAGGGTTACGGACAGAGCCATGGGTGACCCTAAGGCAGCCACCCTGGGAGGTCTGCAGCCAGCAGAGATGATGGCTCTCCCACCACTCGGCAGATGGAACCCCCTTTCTTTACTCTTTGCCCAAGACCCAGAGGCCACATGCAATTGGAGCAGAACCGCATACAGTCGTTTGGGGGTGGTGGTTGGATACTCAAGTGAGGGTCCAACTGCTCTCCCTGCCTCCTCCTCCTCCTCTGAGGGGGATGTCAGCAGTCTGCAAGCTCAGCAGGGATGAGCATTTACAAGTGGGCACTGTGCAGCTGCCCAAGCTGGTGTCTGTTTGCTTTGGAGGACAGTCCTGTACAGCAGTGGCCAGTGGTAGTACTAGAAGCCCTCGCTCTGTTCTGTCTGTTCCGGATGGCAGAGTCCAGGAGCTCTGCATCCCATGGTACCAAGCTACTCAGAATGAAGCCTCCTCAGAGGCACCAGCCTCGGTGATAGCTGAAAGCGGTGCTCACCCTGGAAAGCACTTCACGGTGGCATTCTGCATATGCCACCATCAACAGCATTGGCAGCTTCGGGATCCTGGAGGATCTGTTGGGCCCTGGGTGTGAATCAGCCCTAGAGCCTGCTCTGGCAGCTGCCCACCCTGCCCTGGGTCTCCTCGGC